GGCCGGTTTCGGGGGGTGGCCGGTTTCCCTGTATCCGACGTTAACAAGCCGCTCAGAGCCAACATGATGGCCGGCTCAGCAGCTAGTGGAGCTGCCCTGTCTTTCCCTTTGGCCCTAGCGCTATAGCAGTAAATCACTACATTGGCGAATCAGATTCCATCGTCGTCCTCCATTTCCAGGGGATGTACAGCGGCCCAGCGGCCCTGACGCAAGGACCCGCAGCCGTCCCCGCGAAAAAGGACCGCCGACGTCGGCATATGAAATGCATCCAGCGCAAAAAAAGATAAAAAAGTATTGAACGGCAAAGACGAGACATGGGTGTGATCGTGTGAGGTATGTACTAGGTAGACAACCTAGGTATACGGATAGTACAGCCCCGGAAATACCCTCAGGAACAGTCTTGGTATCATCTTTGTCAGCCGCTGACAGAAGACGCAATTTACGATACACTTGTAGGGCCAAATATCAGTCGGTATCTTACCCAAGAATTTATGTACTACCTTACTTGAGCCCCATTCAAGGTTCCATGTTCTCCCAGTTCATTATGTGGAAGGGTTGTACCATTTGGGTGTAATTGCGCTGCAAGTGGTACCTCAGCGCTGACAATTTCTCGTGCTGCCATAGGTAGGGTCCGAAGCCGCTGGTGACGGCAACGGGTGTGAAACCCTTCTTTTCCACGTTCCCAAATCTGCTTCTTCAACCTTACTCAAGTAACTTTGTTTCCTCTGCATCATTTCGGTTTCTTCGGGTCGCCCATTGAAGAGGACAGCTCTTGCGCTCGAGCTCACCCCTATAGACTACGGATCTGGTTCCCTCGCCCAATCTCTCCTCACATCCAATCCAACCTTGCTCTAGCAACTGTCGGCCGCTTCCTCGCGTTTGGAGAGATCGGGTCATGTCGACCACTGTTGGGTAAGCCTTCTGGCCATCGGTGCTTCATGAAATGCGCCTCTGAATCCATGGGGTTTCGTTCGCACCCAAGTTCTTGTGCTGACTTCATGAACAGCGCCTTTATTGCGGGCGGCATTGCCGCCTGCGGTGCTGTTACTGCAACACATCCCTTTGAGACGGTCAAAATTCGGTATTTTTTTTTTTTTTTTTTTGGCACGCTGCATTGTCCCAGTAGATGCTGACAATGTTCCTGTACAGTATGCAGTTGCAAGGCGAGCTTCAGAATAAGGGCCATCAACCTCACCATTACAGAGGACCGATTCATGGTGTGAGCGTCATTGTGCGCAACGAAGGTGTCCGTAATATCTACCGCGGAATTGGTGCGGCCTATATCTACCAAGTCCTTCTCAATGGCTGCCGTCTCGGATTCTACGACCCTATGCGCAATGCGCTGGCGAGCTTCTTCCTCAAGGACGGAAAGGCCCAGAATTTGGGCATCAATATGTTCTGCGGTGCAGCCTCGGGCGTCATCGGTGCCGCCGCCGGAAGCCCCTTCTTCCTTGTCAAGACCCGATTACAGAGTTTCTCGGCGTTCCGACCCGTCGGCACACAGCACCACTACCGGGGCGCATGGCATGGCTTCAAGTCTATCTATGGAACTGAGGGTATCAGTGGTCTCTACCGTGGTGTGCAGGCTGCCATGATCAGGACTGCTTTTGGCAGCTCTGTTCAGCTTCCCACATATTTCTTCGCCAAGCGTCGCCTGGTTCGTCATTTTGATATGGAAGAGGGCCCCGGTCTGCACTTGGCCTCCAGTGCTATCAGTGGATTCGTTGTCTGCTGCGTCATGCATCCCCCTGGTAAGTCCTGCGCTTGAACCCAAAGCTACCTAAGTTTAGCGACTGACATTCGAGTCTCAGACACCATCATGTCCCGTATGTACAACCAGAACGGCAATCTTTACAGCAGCGTTGCCGATTGTCTCTCCAAAACCATTCGTTCCGAGGGTCTCTTTGCTCTGTACAAGGGATTCTTCCCTCATCTTGCCCGAATTCTACCCCACACCATCCTCACTCTGAGCTTAGCTGAGCAGACCAATAAGCTGGTCCGCAAGATCGAGGATCGCATTCTCCCCGGAAGACTGGAGATGGCGACTTAAATATGATGAGATTACTTGAAGATGTTGATAATGAACGGGCGGCATGGTGATTAGCGAACATGGATCTATGAGCAAAACTGCTCTTGTATATGATGAAAAGAGAAAGAAATATTTCGAGTCCTCATTTATATGATTATCTAGCAGGACAATAGGAGCATTCGGCACCGCCTGGGTCATGGGTTTGGCAATCAAAAGGCGGCGTGGCGTATTTGAGGAGTTTTCAGTCACGGTAGATACTATGTTATACCAGAATATATCAATATGAATGTTCAGATTCTTGTACGAATGATGCTCTACCCGTGAATTGACCGCTTGCAGCCATAGCATAGCCGGCCTGCGGCGGCTGCCCCCGGCCCGTCCCCGGCATCATCGCCTATCTCTCCGGCCCATCGCGAATCTCCCTCGGCATCAAGTGACATTCCACAGCTTCCGCAGAAGCTCTTTCCAGGAATTCGGTCCAGCTTTGTGGTTGTGCGCACCACGTTGGCAACTATCCCAGCATATCCCTCCTCTACACTATCAAAGTACCGTGACATGACCTCCTCGATGCTCAGGTCCTTGTGTGAAACAACACTGTTTCCGGCCTTGGCACCTACTTGGCTGACGGGAACAACCTCCTTTAATGGGGGAACAAGATCAATATACTGGATCAGCTCGTTGCGAAAGATCTCGCGCAGGGGATAATAGACCGGGAATTCTAGCCGAGCGGTCTCCTGGGCGGCTGCGCCCTCGACTGCCTCGTATGTGCATACAGTTGTCATGCCGTCAGCAACCTGTAACGGGACTGCAAATCCTCTACCGTTGGCGACCTCTGATAGTGTCAAGGCTGCGAGTGCTGTTGTGCTGTGGCCGAGGAGAAGCGCTGAGCATGAGTGCTCCTGGGCCTTCTGGAGAAGAAGGTGACGGATGAGCTGACGGAGAAGGTCTGTTCGCGAGGTCAATGTGGGTAAAGCATTGAAAAGTCGTTGAAGGCGAGCGTTTGAATCATCGTCGTCATCATCTGGTGTGACAGTGTCGAGAGGTAGAGTTGACCAGTCGACGCTCTTCACAGAGAGGACGTCCTTTAGAGGAACACACTCGAACATGGCATTTGGCAATACACGACGGTACTCCCCCAGCAGCTTCTTAGCGGGAGATTCTCCCTCAGTGTTTGATAACTCAGTATCGATATGGATGATCACAGGCTCGAATGGTGAAGATGCCTTGTTCTCTGAGTGGTGGCGAGCCTGGTCGCTAAGCAACTGAGCCAGGACGCTAGAAGAAGGCCCAAAGGACAAGCCAGCCAGGTATCTCCGAGTAGTAAGCTTCTTTGAAGAGCGAGTATCTTTATGAAGTGCGCCGAGACGCTTGTTTAGTTTATAAGCGACATATTGGATGTAGCAATCCCTGAGTCACATTAGCATGAGGGGCAAACTTATCAAGTCCCATGAGGGAATGAGAATGATGATAACTCACCGGCATGTTGGGTCTGTCCGTAGGAGGAATGCGGCATATTCGGCCTTGCACCGCTTACAAGGCCGACTGGTGTCCGAAGAAGGCATCTGAGTCTGGTGTGGACGTGGAGATGATTGCCAACAGAGTTGAGTTGGAGTTGAGTTTTCGGGTGACCTATATAGGGTAACCGCTCTTGAGATTGGGTTAAGGAAAACTGAGGGCAGTTTTGTCTGTTTTCGGGTGCCAGGGTCCTCAGATCTGAAGTGAGACTCTTTCAGGTGTCGAGAGATAAGTTCACACGAGTCGATAGGTGAATTGGGTATCGACCAATGTGGCACGGTAGAGTTGACTAACGTTGAAAAGTCGAAATTTTCGCCGCCTCCCACGGATCAGTCATAAAGCAATCACGAAAGCCAACTTTACCACAAACTTAGAGGAACGTCATGGTGGGTAGTTGAAATAGGTTTCAAATTCAGAGATAATCGCGGCGATGCTTTGATTTGATTTATTTACATATACCTTATAAATTTACTTCCATACGCTGAAACTTCAAATCCAGTGCAAAACCTCGGCACACATTTCACTTACACGACTCAGAGCATCGCTTATACCTGGTGTGTTTGTAAAAGGACATCTAGCTTCTGAACAGGCTACCAAGAACGTGTCCGACAAAGTAGCCACAATCTCTACCCCAGGCTCTGACTATGATCTCCTTTCCTATTCTGACCACGTCCTTCTGTTGCTCTGCATCGCCCCATCCTGGCGTCTGAGATCCAAAGCAGATCAAGTGAACACCAACATGGATAACTGTGCGGTAAGCAAAGTCATCACTTACGGCCCCGTAGCCATCAACAAATGCCCGAATGAGCCACTCCGCTGCAGCAATGTCCTTGTATAGCTTGAGTTGCCAAAGTTCAGCAATGGCCTGGCCGAGATCTAGAGGCCGAACACCAATCTGAACCATCTCCCAGTCAACAATACGAATGGGAGTGTGAGTGCCTTTTGCCAGATGGGTGTCAGGGAGTAAGATACTGTTTATAGTCAGCTGATTGCGGTCTCATGATAAGCACCACCAATACGAGGAGGACTCACTTTCCAGTCCAGAAGTCACCATGAATTGGATACAACGCTGATTCATCTGCAAGTTCCCCGGCGGCCAGATCGCTGACACCCTGCAAAACGTCCCTTGCATCGCCAAGAATCTCGGGGTGCCGATCCACCACCTGAAGCAACTGCTGGTAATTGATCATGTTCTTGAGACCCTGCATCCCCTTGTTCCCCGCAAACGTCTCTCGTAGGGCTGCTTGCTTAGGTTCTTGGCTCCAGCCGTGGAACGCGCGAAGCCAAGATCCAAGACCATGGCCGAGCTGCTCGCATTCTTCTCTGAGACTTGGGGGTGTGGGTGCAGCGTAGTACTTGAGGGCATAGTCTTTTAGACTGAGGGCTTCTGAGAGATACTCCTGGACTTGAGTATTGCTATCTTGGTTGAAGTAATATGTCTCTGGGGTTGATATTCTGCACGATGGCGTTTCTGTTGGGGGGAGTTCAGCAAGATGAACAAGAGACTCATACTCGATAGCCTACAACGATGGATGTCAGTCAGCGAAGCTTGCTGGTCAGTACTCTCAGTATCGCACTCACACATCGAGAAGTTGCAATCTTGAATGCAGGATGAAGTGCAACGTAGCCCTCACCCTGCTTGATCACGACGCCATTTTGATATTTGTCTTCACCTGATGGATACTTGAGAGTGGCATGGTACATGAAGTTGGCAGTACCACCACTTAGCTTTCGTAGGCTTGAGGGAGAAAAAGGGGTTCCCTTGAGGACTTGCTCTACTTTGGACCGGATTTCTTGTTCGGTATCTGTGGGGATGCTATGTTGTTCGTGTAAAGACATGGCGATTCGAAGTGGGTGAATGGATGTGGAGTGATTGATGGAAGCAAAACAGCCACGGCTGATTTCTGGACGTGCGTGTTAGTGGTGTTGTAGGACACACTGAAGACATCGCAGTGGTTCAAACAATTAATTGGTATCATATTGACTACCTTACCTAGGTACTTATAGCCAGGACCAACTACCTAGAGCGTTTGTTTGCTTGAGAAGAAGTGAATATTTCCATTCCATGGACTGACCATACAAATTCGGCAATACTTACTAACCCAAGGTAGTCGATGGCTGCATTCGCCGGTGACTCAATTAGTAGAAAAGAGTCATCGTCTATGGGTCGTGATAGTGCTTGAGGGAATATGCTGCCTTTGCCAACACCTGAAGTTGATTGATTATCGATCCATTCTTTCACTCTCACTTCCAACTGCTACATCTGAAAGCATTGAATTGATTAACAGCTCGTTCAACGAGTGTTTCGTCGTCATGAAACCTCCCCCATTGTAATTCTCCACCAGCAAGCGTCTAACTATTCGGCTCGGAGCGAAACGGGCAGCATGAAACTCTCTGAATCTCAGTATCTTAGCCGCTGGGCATTCTAGGCATTATGGTATAGCATGGCATGGCATCGTCTCACATTGTGGACTCTTGTCGAAGCGCCCTGTATCAGATTAAGCGATCGACCCCCTAGGTGGTCTTGGCCTGACCAGGCCGGGCCTCGATTATTATATCAAGTCAGTTTAGAGCAGTTTGTTACCACTCGAGATGACAGCTCTTGGCTAAACGCTGCATATGCGGGCTGATGATGAGGAGAAACTCCCCTCCCAACAAAAAGAGTTGCAAGAGCTGAAATCGTCAGATTCAGTCACAGAATAGGAATAAGCCACTTTCGTGCTCGTTTTCGGCTGCGGAATATGCGGGCGGTTCAACTCAGCTGCCTTGTTTGCACAGCCAGTATCGATTTGATCATTCACTCAAGATGACCAAAGAGACACTGCCCACTGCCATCTTTCACAAATAGTCAATCTCTCTGCCTGGTGATGGTGATGGAGGGTGGTAACGTCAGGCGATACGTAAGACTGATAGATAGCCTAGGTACCTAGATAGCTTAATTCGTAGTCTCAACGAGGCGTGCACACGTTTACCTGTGCTCTATACGTACGTACGCATTTGTTCAAGGGTCTCGAACCTCCCATGATGCTTCCGCCACCTGATGTAATCCCGTTCTGGCTGGAGGAAGAGGGATCAACAGGTAAAGAGAACCTTAATCAGAGTGAACCCCCTCTTTCATTCCTTGGCCCATCAAGTCCAATTCCGAATGCGAAAAGGTCTTTTACTGTTGATGGTGTCCGCCGTTTTCAAGTCCAAACAAAGTACTATGTAGGTAGGTACGTTAGTAGCTATACCAACAGGCAAAGCGTAGCACGTTGACTTCCTCTTTGACCGCTTTATTTATAAATTCAGTTTATCAACAAAAGCTGCCTACCACGGTGAATCTTTGACGCCGCATTGTTTTGGCCGCGAGCAGTGCATCTCAAAGAAACACCAACTGATTCGACAACATCGCTTCTTCAAAACGCCTGAAACGCCCACGGGCAAACTCAACATGCAGGGCACCCGATACTTGGCACTCAACTAGAAATACCTAAGCCGTCACTGCGATTTAGCGGCAGTTTCGCTTGTTGCGCCTTGTACCGAAAAAGTACAGGGCCTGCAGATCTGCGACTTGGCTTATTGCTTAGCTCTGAGTTTAGTACTAAGTGAACTAGGTACTTAGTGACCTGTTAAGTTAGTGACTCTAGGTATCCAGTCGGGTCCCCCCTCTTGACTGGGCTTCCGTCTGGTCTGCGACAATCTTCGTTCCTCTCCGTTGCCGATCAAATCAAAACACCCTTTCCCTTTCTTCAGCTTTGTGTCTCCGTCCTTTCAATCGTCATTCAAACCTTGTGCTCTTTCATAATTCCATCGTCTCTCGTCTCTCGTTCCTCTTTCTTTGTCTTTATCCTTCTCCACAGTCTGCAGCATCTGCCTGCATCCAATACCTACATACTACGCCCGGCATTTCATCACAACAATCAACAACATCCAATCCGATCCGATCCAACCTAACAAGACAACCACAAACTTCACTGCCACCACCAGTTCCAGACTCATCTCCTAAAGTCTCACCACCTAAACTCCGTATAAGCATAACGTTCCACGGCCGCAAACCCCATCGTCTCGACTTCCACTCTCCTACAAGCATTATTATATCCTGGTTTCCAACCCCTGCTTATAACACCAGCCTTTCGACAATCGAGAGGCCCATCGTTTTCTCAAATTTCACAACGAGGCCTCTACTTCTTGTCTGCCATCAACCCCCAGACGCTTGTCCCGGTAGACTAGTCCGATTGTTTCATTGCCGCGCAAATCTTCGAATCGAACACTTCCCCTTCTCCTTCACGAACCGTCAATGTTCGTGATATCACCACCACCACCACCATCATCATTCTCGAATTCGATACCGTTCGCCGAAACATAGTAAACAATGGCCGGAACTCTCGTTGAAAGGGCCGCGCATCCGGTCAATACATCTTCTCTTAATACCAAACTCGACGTTCCTGCTCGTCCTCGCAGCCAATCTCACCTCGAAGCTGCCTTTTCTCCTGTCAATAATGACGGTTGTTTTGACTTTGACCGCGTGTTGAAGAGCGGCTATGTTCAGAAGCGTACACAAAAGACAAAGGTTAGCATCCGCCGTCACTTATTCTTTTTGAAGCATTATATCACGGCTCCCGGCTCTTGTCCCGTACTGACTCCTTTCTAGAAATGGAAGCCTGTTTACCTTGTCTTGCGACCCAACACCCTCTCTTTGTACAAAAACGAGAGCGAGTCTCGACTACGACACCAGCTTTACTTATCCGAGCTTACAGCCGTCGCCGAATTGAAAGACCCCAAGCATAAGCGCGAGCATGTTTTTGGCCTCTTTTCCCCTTCTCGCAACTACCACTTTCAAGCGAATTCTGCCGAAGATGCTCAGGAATGGATGGACTTGATCCGAAGGGATGCGCGTATCGATGAAGAGGAGGACGAGATGTTCCTTGCTAGCCCACGTGCCTCTCAACAGGCTGGCAATGGCATCAGGCCGGTTTCTATCAGCAACAACCGACCAAATGAGCATGAGCGCTTCCTTTCCAGCTCTCCGGAACCAATGGCATCTTCTGCTCCCAGATATGTCACCTCGGCAGGGAGTAGGAGAAGGTCATCGATACTAGAGTCCTCGGGACTATCGGGTGCGGAGTTCGCATCTCACTCCGACCTTTCCGACAATGAAGCTTTCCGACCTCAGGACTCGTCCTATGATAGTTTGGCCGTTCAATCGCCTGGCAAACTACCCCCAGCGGCTCGCCCATTAGGCCAAGGTATCCGATCCGCGAGCCAAACGAGCGTGTCCAATGTTGAGCAAGACCCCGACCGTGTCATATGGCAAGGCCGGCTCTACCTCTTGCGTCACCGACGTGGCATGCGCCAGTGGAAGGATATGTGGGCTGTTCTTCGCCCACGCAACCTCATTCTCTACAAGGACGAGTCTGAATACACGGCTCGGTGGATTTTACCGCTCTCCGCAGTCGTAAATGTAGTCGATCTGGACCCTCTCAGCAAGAGCAAGAAGCATTGCCTCCAGGTTATCACTGAAGAAAAGAGCTACCGCTTCTGCGCCCACGATGAAGATGCCCTTGTTCGCTGCATTGGCGCTTTCAAGAGCTTGCTTGCTAAACGTCGTGAACTTGAGGCTCGCGCTGCCGCGACAGCCACATGACCTAAGCACACAAACAGACCTCACGGGATCTCGGCCTCACGAGACCCAATGGTGTAAATGCACCCAGGATGAATCATGATGATCAACGTTTCCTTTGTCGGTTTTCTTTGTCATGCGCCAGCGGCCGTGCTGTGTTTTCTTTGTATTTCTTGGTCATTGTTCATGGCGAATATGTTGCTTGATAGAAGAGAAGAAAGAGGAGGGGAGCTTCTTGACGAGTTGCATATGTTTCTCAGCGCCTGTTCCTTTAGCGAAAGCCTCCTATTTTGTTATGTACATAGAACATGATATCCGTGGTCCTTAGCACCATCCTGTAGAAATCTTCCATATTCAACCAATATTCTTGAGTCGAGTACACCATTGTGAGCTTAACCCAAAACCCGAACACCTGTCCATGTCTACCGATGCATTCTGAACCATTAAAAAACGCCGAAAACAAAATGAAATCGAAAATCGAAGATGCCAAGCTTTTCGAACACATCCATTATCGTTGACCTTGATCATGCCATGTTGACTGACGACTGCTGGTGCAGGTTTGCCTGGTTCCTGTTGGTATTGGCCAAGACAAAGTGATCTTGGCATGAAGTCCCCCCCCCCCCGCTCGGGAAAAAAATAAAAAAATAAAATAGCTGGACAATGAGTGTCGGAGTCCCATAGAGATAGATGGCCGAGTTTCGTGGACGATGTGCGAGACAACTGTATGCGAACGTATAAAAACCACTGAATCTTTGTTGTGGAACGGCTTTATGCGCAACGTCGCTATATACTCTCGAGGAGAAAAGTGTCATCGAATTCGCCATAGTTTAGGTTGTCATCGTCCCGATCGTTCATCAGGGATTCAAAAGTAATGTCGTCAGTTCCATCGGCGAGACCGTCGCCTGTGCCGAGACCACCGAAAATCTCGTCATCAAAAACAGAATCATAGTTATTGTTTGACATTTCCTGTGAGGCTCCCAGATTGTCTGTATCCATTGGCAGATCTCGCTTGGATACGTTATCGGCAGATCCAGCAGGCAGTTGCGAGATGCCATTTGTCTGAGAAGCGTTGTTGGTGGGCAGGATGTCGTCCAGACCTAGTATATCATCATTACCCTCTGGGGGAGCAAAAGTTGCAAGGTCAAAAGCAGGTTCCTGAGAATTAGAAGTGTTTTGCGAGTCGTTGTTTGTCAGAGCCAGCGTGAACTGCATATTTGTAAAGTTGAGTTCTGAATGCGGCCCGTCGCCGGTAAGGTCTGTCACGTTATTGTTTTGGTTGTCCACAGCCTTGTGCTCCATGATCGGCATAGGAGCCATCGGAGCGGTGGCAGCTGGAGCTGAAGTCGGGGCAGCAGGAGAAATTGTCTTTGAGTTGGTTTGTTCAGGCCTAGTACTTGGGATTACAGATGAGATGGTCTCATCATTCGGCACACTGATAGGTTGGCCGATATCGGGAAGCCCCATGCCCATGTCGGGAAAGGGGGCGACTGGTTTGTTGGTCTTAATCTCTGTCATATGCTGATCCTGAGGGGGAGGGGGAGGTGATGATTCAAGGTCGATGACCATGGGAGATTTGGACTGAGGTTCAACTGGTTGCGGTTGGGATACAGGAGTAGGTTGACTTTGCTGAATCTGCTGCTGTTTCTGTTCTTGCAGGCGCTTGACATCACGCATGAGAACAGACTTGGCATCGATCTAAGGTAATGTGAGATTTGAGTGGTTGAGGCGATGCTCGAGGCGACTTACAATATCCCACTCGAGCTTGTGTAAGGCTTCCCGGAAACCGTCAATAGACTCGGGCAGCTTGGACTTGAGGGTTGACTGAGTAGACTGCGTACTACCTTGAGCATCCTTGCGGGAAGCTCTGAGGGCCTTCCCAGTATGTACCAGCTGTAATAAGGCGTCAGAAATTTGGACAAGTCATTAGAAGGATGGAGGTGACACTTACGACATCGTTGACCATATTCTGCAAGACATCGAGCGGGTCCGGCTCCTGGTGAGGTTGGGGAGCCATGGCTGAGCCCGGCGACAGTTCTGGTATTCTGATAGATACTGAGAAGCCGTTCAAACAAAATATGAGAAGTTAGGTACCTATGTAAGTTTAGCTTCAAAGAACGGTCAGATATCGTCGTTGCTGAACAAAGCCAGGGAGGGAGAGCCCAAGAGGTGTACTCCTTGCTGGACCCAGTTCAGCCCCAGGTTAAGTTGAGTGTTAGGCGCGTCCAGGAACCACATCACGTGCACCTCACTACCTACCTAAGGGTTTGAGTTGGATGGACTCACTGACCAGGACAACAGTGAGCAACCAACCAAACGACTCACTGACGACTGGAAGTTGGTAGTTTCGAAACTCAGGGCCTGAAAATCCGTGCACGAACCATATGATTGAGACCTTTGAGCGTTGGAGTCCTGATCGGTCGTTCCTGGGCTATCGCCATCCGTTCATGTACATACTAGGTACGTTGAAGGAAATGACCCCAGTTTAACCACTTACACACCTTTACCCTCAAATCATGCTCTCTGGCTTTTGCAAAGCTCAATTTTACTCTTGTTTTTGGTCTCCAGCCAAGTCTGCCTTTGACGTCTTTATATAAACTTTATACCCCCATGTATTCAATTCCAGGGAAAGATGCCAATGCTTTACAATGTCAGTACGCACTAAATGGATGGGCCGCTGTAGCAGAGACAAGTTGTAGGGCCAAGTTCACCTCCAAACATCGAACTACACCTAACGTTAGAAGGATAACCCACGCCAAAATAGTCATATGTGATAACTTATGTGATATGATATAAGCTACTTGATGTCCCAGCTCATCCCATGCAAACTCTCTTCCCGCTTCTCCAATGGCCCAATGCAGTTTGTTCATTCCCCTCTTCCTTCACTCTCTCTCAACCCTGACACTTTGGTCAAATCAGGCGTCTAGAACAACAGACAACCAATTGCTGATCAATATACCTGCATGGTCTGTTGGGCTTCGATAGTCGGTAAGGGAAAGCAAGTATGTATGTATGCATGTACCTTACTTTACTTGTACCTCTCTGTACCCTAGGTACCGACCAACCACCGCCCGCTCGCCTTAGCCCACCTACCTAAGGTACCTTACCTTAGGTACTGTACGATGAACTGTCCAGTAAGAGGTACAAGGCGATATCCGTCCATATATGTAAGGCTACCTTATGTATGCCCCTCCATCATCCGCTTCTCGTCAGCTTCTTTTTTTACTTCTCTCCTCTCAAGCATTCATAAGGTAGTCATAATCTCGTTGGAGTGGTCCTTGTATCAGGTTTCCTTTGGGCTTTTACGGTTCCTTTCGGTTCCTCCGTTCAATTTCCTTTTCATATCATCGACTTCCACCATCGTCTCGCGCTGTTTCTCTACCATAGTTAACTCTCTTCTGTCACGCCATCTCCTCTCTTGTTGCTCTCAACTTGTCTCTTCATTTGAGTCGGTTTCTGCCTTTTCTACGTCTCTTTGCCGGTCTTCGATTCTCGTGCGCGCCAGCCCTGGCTGCGGAAAAACACCATCTGCACGCCTTCTTTCAGCCTGTCGACCATCTCTCATCTTCATCAAATTAAAACCCCCTCCCCCAGGTCTCACAACCGGCCACGATCAAGCCAAGGCCACCGTCTCGTTCCGCGCCTGTGTTACAGTGCCAGACCGCACGCAAGCAACAATTCGGTCGCTCCTCTCCGAAAGCTTGCGCCTTCGTTCGCGTCGCTGTCAGCCGCTTCTAGGAGATTTCAGAAGTTGGAGTTTCCACTGCAACCTCCCACCCCAGTCCCAAAGCTTTCGTCTGGACCCCGTTGTCAGACCAGACCCAGACGCGGGCCCCTCTCCCTGTGCCCACCCGTGTCGCTCTTAGCTTCGGGTTGTCTACTCGTCCAGTTGGACCCCTGTCCTGTCAAACGCTAGGAGGTAGAGGTACATATTGTCACCGACCGCCGACTCTCCACCTCGACCGACCGATTTCAGTACAACGCAGCTCATAGGTAGCCTCCAATTCCTCTTCTACCTCTGCTCTGTCGTCCTATCCTGCCGTTACTCATCCTTCTTGATCATCACCCCAGACACCATATCATACAACATGGCCGATTCTGGAACGCCCTCCAACCCAGGCCAGCTGCCTCCCCCCCCTCAGGCTGGTGCTGGCGCCCCTGGCTTCGAAGCTGGGCAGAATGGACAGCCTATGGCCCCTCCGCCTCTGCATATCCCTCAGAATACCAACCCGATCCCGACTGCCATCACCTCCCCCAGATCCGCTGCCGATCAAGGAGGCATCATGTCGCCTACCAGTGCAGGTGGCTTCCGTCGTGCTGCCCCTGAGCCCAACAAGCGTGCCCTCTACATTGGTGGTCTGGACCAGCGTGTAACTGAGGAAGTCTTGCGTCAGATCTTCGAGACTACGGGTCATGTTCAGAACGTCAAGATCATTCCCGACAAGAATGTAGGTCTTGCTACAACCCTAAGAGATTTTGTGGACGTAGTATGGTGGGTGGGCTAACAATGCTTCACAGGCGCGTGGTTATAATTATGGCTTTGTCGAGTATGACGACCCTGGTGCCGCTGAGCGTGCTATGCAGACCCTCAATGGACGACGAGTTCACCAATCGGTACATTGCCCCTCAACGAAATCCAACAACACCTCGAACGTCGCCCGCTAACCGTAGCTTAGGAAATTCGAGTCAACTGGGCCTATCAGTCAAACACTACAAGCAAGGAGGACACCTCGAATCATTTCCACATCTTTGTCGGTGATTTGTCCAACGAAGTCAACGATGAGGTCCTCCTTCAAGCTTTCTCTGCTTTTGGTTCCGTTTCAGAGGCTCGTGTCATGTGGGATATGAAGACTGGCCGATCTCGAGGTTACGGTTTTGTTGCCTTCCGCGACCGCCCTGAGGCCGAAAAGGCTCTGAGCTCCATGGACGGCGAGTGGCTCGGCTCGCGAGCCATTCGATGCAACTGGGCAAACCAGAAGGGCCAACCTTCAATGGCCCAGCAGCAAGCTATGCAGGCGATGGGCATGACGCCTACCACCCCTTACGGGCACCACCAATTCCCAGCACATGGCGTCGCTAGTTACGAGGTTATTCTGACTCAAACTCCCAGCTGGCAGACAACTGTCTATGTCGGCAACCTTACTCCTTACACAACTCCCAATGATGTGGTTCCTCTGTTCCAGAACTTCGGTTTCGTTGTCGAGTCTCGATTCCAGGCTGATCGAGGGTTTGCTTTCATTAAGATGGATACCCACGAGAACGCGGCTATGGCGATCTGCCAGATGAACGGGTATAATGTTAACGGACGACCCCTCAAGTGCAGTGTATGTTTTACCCATGTTGCAATTGAGAGATGGCAGCTGACAATTGACCACAGTGGGGCAAGGACAAGACGCCCAGTGCTCAAGGAGCCTTTGACCCTGCTCAGCCTTACAGCCCACAGAGTGCTCAAGCTCCTGGTTTCCCAGGCACGCCTACGTACTATCCTCAGTACGGTGGTAAGTTCAATGTGAGCAAAGCTTGATCGTAGTAGTAGCTGACAATGACTTAGCCCAGTACGGCGGACAGCCTGGAAACTACGGTGGACCACAAACTGGATCCCCGGCCGGTTATGCTGGATCCCCTATGGGATATGCTGCTCCTCAAAGCGCGGGCGGCTATGGTAGGGGCCAACAGCCTCCCAATGCTGAATGGGCCCAGCCTCGCCCTGGACAGAACTTCAACAATGGATTTGGTGGTTATCAGGCCTAGGGGGCAACGACCAAACCAGAGCAAGACAAACCAAAAAGCTGGACGAAAGCTGGACATGGTGGTATGAGGGCGGAGGTGTCTACCACTTGATCATGCCCCGGGACGGGTTTCTCTTTGTCCGCTTTTCATGATTCCCCTTTCTTTGATTCCCCTTTCTTCTTTCTCACGTTTCTATGTATTTCTCTCTCGTGCTTGCTTCTGTTGCTTCCATTACTCTTTTCTCAGTATCCTCAAGCATTATTACAGTTCAGGCCTGTGATACCCCCGTTCCGTGTTATGGGGTTAAAGGGGCAATCTTCCTCTCTTGCTTACAAACTGATGTATGCATATCTCTCTTCTCTTCTCTTCTATTCCTGTTTCGTCGATAAAAGTCAGGGAGCGCCACATGTTTCTCAAATCTCTCTCAATCTCAATCTCTATCTCTCTCTGTACGAGCGCTGATTCTAGGATACCACCAACATTTCTTTACCTTGACTTTGTTGCATTAAGTCAGGAGCCAGTCTGGCATTCAAAATTCCCTATCTGACGACATCATGAGCGTTTCATCCATTCTTGTATCTCATGGAGCATCTGATTGATATTTCAGTGGTTGGCGAGGGGGTGGCAGTTCCATTCCATGGATTCTCATCTATGTATTTAGCGGCGACCTTTTTCTTTCTTAACGGGACATTTTTCTTCTTTCTCCTTTTTTCATTAATAATTCTCGCGCACGATATGATGAAACAACGACTTGACGACTCTGTAAGATTAATGACAAAAGGTGAGGAAGTGGAAGATGTTGGGGATGCGCAAGTTGGGGGCTTCGGCGAATGTTATTTGAGATGCACAAGATTCTCGAAGGAAATTAGGTGGCAAGATGGCGGCAGTTGATGAAATGGATGGATTAAACAATAAGACAATCTCACTCAACTATCGGACGTGGTACCCTCGGCCTTTCTCTGATACAAATGGCGTAGGGTGACACCACAATCCAACTGTTCTGCCGAGATGTTGCCAGTCTTCAAAGTCCCCATCTCGATAATGATGCCCAAGCTGAGAAGTGAGGTTTCTACATAACATACCTAGGTATGAACTGGCATAGCAACAGGTCTACGTGTCGATATTTGGCACCAGTGAACCCCAGTAAAGGTGTAAATAGACACAGGAGCCACGTAGCTTCAGATTGGATGGATGGTAAGCCCATGAAACGCCAACGAAATAAACGGGGCAAGGCTCTGGGATTTGATACCTACAGGCTACCGTCTTGTCCTCCCAGATACGGTGAGA